AGATGGGGGGGCGCCGGGCAGGGGCGGGGGGCGCAGCCCTCGCCGCTCCTACCGACTCGTTACCGACCGAAAACGTGTGTGTCTTCCCCCAGCTCCCCGCCCCGGGGTCCGAGCCCTCCGGGGAGGGGAGGGGAGGGCCGGCAGCGAGGCAGCGCCTGGCCCCGCTAGCTCCGGGGGGGCTGAGCAACCCCGGCCGCGGGGGCCCCGCTGGGGCGGTCCCGGGCTCAGCCCCCGCTTCGCTGCTCTGCCCACACCCTGGGCTCGGGTGCTGCTGTTGCGCTGGGAAAAAAAAAAAACCAAAACCAAAACCCAAAACCAAACCAAACCAGCAAAAGCCCTGAAACTGGCGTGCCTTGGCTTGATGAGGATGGAGGGATCTGTCTAACATCCAAATTCTTCTGGTTCTTTGCAGTTTTTGACCCCTAAATGCTACGGATAGGGTTCTTAGAGAAACAAGCGTGCTTTTAGCAGCCTAAGAGGTCAGGGCTACGATGGGTTCTGTTCCACTAGTCGGGGAAAACCAGAGCTCAGGTGCTTGAGCACACCAGTCCCTAAATCAAAGTAGTAGACTTAATTGCTGTATAGGAAATAGAAGTGGAGGAGTCTCGAATTCGCCTTCACGTGTGGGGGTTTTGTGCCCCTTTTGTGCCTCAGGCTGTTAAGATGCAGTTTTGTGCTGCTGAAGAAGCAACCAGACTTTTTGTTTATTGGTTTTGATGTTACTGTGTAGGGACTTGGAACCAAAAATCATTAGGATTGTAATCCGGAATGAAGATATTAAAAATACGGATCTGAAAATAAGTAAAAAAAAAAAAAAAAAAGATTTAAAAAGAAATGCTACAGCCTTTCTTATGACGCACAAAGCTGTAATGAGCATTTTATAGGCTGCTTCCTATACAGGGTTGAATGAGATCCTTGCGTAGGTTTATGTTGCGAAATACTTTCTTCCTCTTCTGAAAGTACCTTCTTCAAACACGTGATCTATCTATGCTGACATGTGTGCCAGCACATTCCCTACATGCCATGTACAGTGCTCACACGTATGATCGTGATTGTTAAAGGACAACATTGTTGATCACTTCTTTATTATTTTGAGTGTATGGAATAAATGAGGCCTTCTGTAAGTTAGCTTACATGTTAAGTGAGAAGAAAGCTAAATTTATTAGCACCCAGAGGAATTACTGGGAACCAGTAGCCTTTTGCAGTTTAGTTTGAACAGAGAGGTTACAGACACTTCTGCACGTGTACAAGAGATGTACTATGTTTGGCATCATTTTAGGTTGAATGCCAACTAATTAGTCATCTAGCAAAGATGCTTTATGAGCATTATCAGATTTCCAAAATTAAACGACTACTAAATATGTAATATGACATACAGTTTATGTCAATTTTTATTTTAATACAGTTGTCCTTTGCAGGATATTTTGCAAGAGTAGATCTTTTTCCCTAGTAAGTGTTCCAGACTTTCAGCAAAATGCTACCAAGGAGAAAAAGTTCATTGTATCTTCTTGAACTTTCATAATGACAATATTGAGGTAAATGATAGAGGGAGGAAAAAACTCCCAGATTTCAGCCTGGGCAAAACACTTCTGGGTGAATATTTCACAAAATGGGTATTATATTGCTTCTTGCTTTTTCTTTCCTTGTAACATCTAAACCCCTCATTCATCTTTGAGTTTTGAGCTTCTGAGTAAAACATGGGGGAAAAAAATGCTTTATGTTTTAAAATTATGCCTGCCTCCCTAGCTCTTCAGAGCAAAAGTTATCTTCACTTGTTTTGACAAGAACAACTTAAAAAAAAAAAAACCCACCCCAAAAAACCCCAACAAACCAAAACCAACACAAGAAATTTCTGCAATTGGGCAGGTTTGAAATTTTGACATAACTCAGAGTAATAACTGTGGATTAGTTATTAAAATATAGACTATCCAAATTAAGTTTTCCCTATATTTTTAGCTTCTTTTTTTCCCTGATAAATCTTTATGACAAATGGGACTTGCAATTTAAAAGCGGGTCACTCACTAGTTTTATAGCACAACAGACAAAATGTCAGAGGGGATGGGAGTATTTAGAGATGGAAAGTATAGTACGTTTTGGTAATATTAAAGCTACATCACTTTCTGATGAATAGCAGAATATTTATTTTTGTTTTATTCTTGAAGCTGATTCACCATCTAGTTTTCACATGACTTGCAATGAAATGAAGGTTTTATTTTAAGAACAAAAGGCCGCATAGAGGTCTGACTGATGCTGATTTTAAACTTCAAATTAATGAAAACCTTTCTAATTCTGGTGCAAATGATGTTTAAAATCAGACTTGGGGAGGTAGCCAAATTCTTAATTTTGCTGGCATCTTCCAGAGTTGCCACAAATAACAACTCATGAAGATTTTTTGCATGCAGAGTGAAGTAGAAAACATTAGATTTTTGATATTTCCTAAAACTGGATCCAAATTATCCATGCTATCATTAATTAGCATAATTTTTTGTAGTTATGGAGGAGAAGTTAAATTGCCTGAGCATGCTTACAGATGTGGAAATGTTCTCTCAGGAGGGTTTTGAACCTCAGCAGAGTGTGTCAAAGCTTGTCTTGGTACTTCTTGTGCAGAAGCATGGCAAATGTTGAGGGTTAAAAGAAGAATGGAGTTCCCCATGTCATTGGATTGATACCTTGGATTACAAACTCACTTTATTAAATGGATTAAAAAGAACCTAAAAAGTTGCTGTCACTAAGCACTGTAAGGTTTGTTAGTCTAATAAAAAAACCCAGAAGGGTTTATGAAAAAGGTTATTAAAGTTCCCATTAAGTTGGGGGAGGGGTGTGTGTGTATGTGAGGGAATCTAAAGAAGCATGAGACAAGCAAAGAGATTTCACCTAAAAATTTAATGGAACAAAACAGAATGGACCGTTTTGTATAAGAAAGAATAAAAATCAAAACAAAATCCAAGTGCTGTCAAGAAGACTTTAAATGCGTGAGAGTTTTGAATTTCAGTAGAGGGAAGGTATTTAGGGACTAGTGAATAAAGTAATGCTTATGATGTTTGGAAATAATGTGGTAGAATTGAAGTCAGTTCTGTTCTCTACACTGTTTGCTCCATTATATCATTATCCTGAATTTCAGTATACAATTTGTAATGCATATGTGTTTCCTGGTCAAAACCACTCTATAAGAACAGGTTGTTTACATAAGCCACTTGTAGTGTGATTAATTAAAAGCATTATCTGCTGGAGAACTTGAAGAGTATTACCACAGTGCTATTTTGGTTCAGCTGTAAAACTTTGAAGCAAAAGAATTTCTAGTTATACCCTGACCCCAGTTTTCATGCGCTTTTAAAAATTTTGTCTATGATGCAAAAGAAAACCATAGAAAGCTACAAAAGCTGGATTTTCTCTGAAAAGCCCCTTGTAACCTTTCTACTTGTGATTAGTTTCAAAGTGACAGTAGAAGTCCAGAGACTTCTTGAAAGGAGCATTATTCACTTGAAGTAAAAGGCCTGGGTCAGGTTTGCCATTTTAAACATTTGGATGGTTTCAGGCTTTACCTGAGAAACTCTTGACATAACTAAGGGCCTGCAAGATCTGCTCGAATCAGTATTGGATTGTAACTTTAAAAATCCATAATGGTGTCTTTGAAACTTTCATGATATAGTAACTCACCACGCTTAAGTCTGCACTCAGGGAAGAAGGAATGAAGGGCCTAAAGCTGGTGAGGGCAGCATCACTGTGTGCTGCCATGTGCCTGCTAATTTTAATGAATTGTGCCTTTTAGAGAACATCTCATCCCTGGCGTCTTCCTTTTAATGGCCAGTTGTATGGCCAGACCAAAGAAAGGAGGTGGTATGTGACTTGCCTCCTGCTCAAGGCTCTTAGGTTGACTGCGAAACCTGCTGGTGTTAGCTCTGAACAAGCTGACATTATCTCCGGCAGCATCTTACTGGCTCACGGTGTGGCTGCCCATCAGTCAGTGAAAGCTGGAGTGAGCTCTCTTTTTGGGTTCTGTTTGTGTGAGGCAGAGTCTGGCATGAGCTGTCTTACTGTCAGCTAGTGAAATGGTGATAGCTCCGTGGCTTTCTCTTTGGAAGTTGCCATGTACTCTGGCTCATGAGTAGAAGGAACAGGACTGTGTTCATTCATTTTCCTTCTTCCTTTCTTCCTCTTTTAATATTCTTTCTCATCATCTCATACCTGTGAAAGTGCATCTGAGTACTTGGTGGCATTATATATGTTAGCTATTGTCTCCCCTAAGAAGGCTAGGAGAGGGCTTCTCTGCCCCTTCTAGGCTGTGTAACGTTCAGCTGATGAACAGCATTTCTGCAGTTTCATTTCCTGTTAGTGCAGGAGGAGTGACTTTAGTCAGAAAATAAACACGGAATAAATTTGAAGAGCAAAGACAGTTTTCTGGTTTTGGAGAAAATAAAAATATCTACGTGATTATCTGTTCTTATTAGGAGCTCATGCATACCTTCAGAGTTCCATTGCTCAGCATAATGGCTATTGTAATTTATTTTTATTTTTTAGTTTGGAAATGGACTTGAAATGAGCATTGTAAAGTGAAGCTGATTATTTTTTTTTCAGGCAGTTGTCCAGTCTTCCTCAGCTGGTGAGAATAGATGACTCAGAGGCTTAACAGGATATGGTGTTAGATACCTGTAGTTGACTGATTTGAATTTGGCCCAGGTTAGTAATGCTTGAAGTCATTACCATCTGTCTGTTGTTCAGTGACCTGTATAAAATTAGCTGATATTCTTAGTCCAGTTCTTAGTAGACAGGTGTCCACATCATGAAAACTGGCACCAGTATCAAGCTTGTTGGCTGTTGTAGCAGAGATTATCTGCTGATGAACAGGCAAAGAAACAGTAGTCTAATTTCTGGATGTATGTTTTTCCCTTTTCAGGGTTCAGACATGCTGATGGATGAATATATGTACAGGCAAAGGGTATTGTGTGCTGCTGCATTTGTTGTATTTGTCTTTTGGTAGAGAATGTAGCCCACGTGTTTGAATTGCACGTTATTTTTTTTTTTTTTTTTTTTACAATGCCCTACCTAGTTTTTCAGGCTTCCTAGCAGAAATCTTAACATATAGCAGGTGTCCTCAGCTGTTCTTTCTGATAGAATGAAATGAGAACATGCTTCATATGATAGCTTTTTTTTTTTTTTTTTTTTTCTTTACTTAAATGATACCAACCCTATTCAGGCAGCAGGAATTTGGAAAGAGAAAGCACCAATGAGAAAGCACCAAATCTTTCACATGTAGTTATATTTAAAAAAATCAAAACTGTAGCAACTGGGTTTTTTTTCCTAGATGTAACTGTAGGAACTGATGTAATATAATTTCAAGTAGTTTATGTGTCCTGGGAATGATCTCATAATAGCAGTAATAACTGCACTTAGCATTTAAATTGTACTTTGTATGCTGAAACCTTTGTACAGACTTGTTTGCTAATGTTCCCGGTGGGTTGTGTGTCTCTTGATGGCAAAATTTGCACTATACAGAAAGCCTGTGCAGGATTTGACTGTTTACATACAGTAGAAATCTCTGCAGTGACAGTTGCCTATGGAGACGCTGCGATAATGGAGCCCAAAGTCTTTCACTGGGAGCTCTGCTGCAGTTCAACCCATATGTTGGCATAAAATGCATGGGAGAGCTGTCTTATGTTCCTCTTCACAGGGTTAGGGCCTGGCATCGCTTCTTCAGCCCACATGTAACATCTCTATCTAACACTGAACTATTCTGGCTTTTGCAGGGGTTGCTTTTAATCCTGCCTGAGCTTCTTTAAAGTATATTATCTTGCAAGCAGTGATTCAGACTTAACTGTTCCCACTGCAGTGTGTAGGACTCTCCTCCTATTTCATTGACATAAAAATACACACCAGTATGTTAAAAATAGTTCTTCAACATTTCTGAAGATTTATGGTGGATAGATGCTTTCTGAATATCCATTGAGGGATAAGCCCAAATGGTCATATTTAAAGTTAATTGGCCTTCTTTCATCTTGCTGCATTTTATTTTCAGTAATAGAGCATTAAGGATTCTAATAGAATCTTCTGTTTACAGAGCCTGAGTTAAGTGGTGCAACACGTTCATTTTGGAGGACAGCTTAAATCGCCAATAAAAGTAGGTTAGGTGACTACAGATCACCTCCTCGTTGACAGGAATTCCCACGATTAATAATAGTGTTGGGTTTTTTTTAAAAAAGAAGCATGACTCACTATTTGTAGACCTGCTATTGTTACCAACTGGAGTTATGTTTTCTTCTACGTCAAGAAGAATAAGAGATAGATTTTGGTGTCGCCATAGATAGCTCTGGGTTGGCATGAAGTACTGGGTTGTGCTAGAAAATCCAAGAATTGGCCTTAACAGTTGTGAACTGACAATGTAGGTGGAAGACGTGGAGCACGACGGGGCTGTAATTGGAGAACAAGCATTAAGGAGATAATCAGCTTTGCTGTGTCTTGCTGCTGTCTTCACTCCTACCAAACATTTTACTGTTTGGCCAAGGCATTGGATGCAAAGCAAGGATTTGCATGTCAGTACTAGCTGAATAACTGAAATATTTCTATTATCTTCATTCATCTGCCATTTTCTAGTGGCCTAAAATGCAATTTTAACATTTGTTTTGTCACTGCTGCCATCATGTTGGGCAAACAAACAAAAGTAAACTTTAGTTTCAACCTTATTTTGTGGCTTCGTTATTGTCTGACAGTTCCTGCTTCCTTCTTTCTCATGGGTCCTACTATTAAATAAAGGTCTGAGAGCAGAATAGCAGTTACCAAAGAGTGAACTCAAGCAAAGTTTTTGTCCTGCGTGGCTGCTATAGGATTTTTAATAGCATTAAGGCATAGGCTTGCTGGTTTGGAGATTAGCTTCTTTGTCTTGGCTCTCCCCTTCTTTTTGAGAAACTTAAAAAAACCCAACCAACCTTGCAAAAAGCATCTGAATGCTTATTGCCCATGAAGCCATAATCATTTACTAGAACACAAGAAATCAGTGCCTGAGGGGAAAGCAGCTCGTGCCTGTGGGAAAAATCTGTCCCTTTGCTCAATTTGATATGATTATAAAATTACAGTGTTCTGTGAGCTAAAGAAAAGAAGGTACTGCCAGAGGAAAGCAGTAAAAGGTTTGGGGTTTTCTGAGGAATATTCCTATTTGGTTTCTTAAAACTAACAAATAAATCCTGAAAGGGATTCAGGAACTGAGTACAATACTAAGTATTCCCGTATTACTGAGTAACGGAGACTAATTCCTGCACTGTCTTATTAGAGCTACATGGGAAAATGACTTTTTCATTTCTGTTGAACTTCGATTTCAGAAACATTTCAAATAGAGGTGAAATAAATATTTACATATTTAAGCCAAGCCTAGATAAATGAAAGTAATGAGATTATGGGAGGTCAGATACAATTGCATCTCTTCTATTTCTATGCACAAGTGTGATTGGGCTTTTCTCTCCTATTTTCTAACACTTCACATAGCTGTCAAGATACTGGAAGACATTTCTAGTATGAGTTTTTGCAATCTCCTGGAGCTCTTCTGATCTCAAGAAAGAATTATATTCAGGAAATGTCATTGGACTATGGTGTCAGTAGAATGAGTGGTCTGACCACTTGTGGATTTCCCTGACCCTAATGAACACTTTGTGATTTGTAGAAAGGGGAGCAGCCTCCATTTGACCTGTTTAGAGAGCAACCCATTGCAAAACAAGCAGCATGGTATGGAAGCATGTTATCTGGAACTTGGGAGTTTCTTCTTAAAACCTCTTCAAGACAGACATGCCAGACTATCTAACTTTCCAGGGACCGCTGAGCTACCAACTCTTGTAGGGTGAATTTTCTTTAGATTTTATGTTGAAAAATGTCTTTCTGTGAAACCTTTAACTTCCAGAAAAGTAGTTTTTTTGACATTTAGCTGAAAAATTCTTAGATGTTCTCTACATAACTTGCAAATGGTTTAGTGAAATAATTTTACATGGTTTTGTTTTATTTTTTGTTCACAGTTTGACACTTGTTCTAGGTGCAAGAAGTACAGGTTTCCTGTTTTCCAGTTTCTTGTTTCTTGTTCTCCTTTTAACATTTGTTTCAAAATGGCATCTGTGAACAGTGATTTTTATTTTTTTTTTTCTTTCTAAGAGGGACATACTCTTCTTCAGCTAACAATCTTGTCTTTCCTCCTTTCATTTTTAGATTGCAAATACTATGATAAAGCCCGAATTAACAGACTCAAGCCACTTACCCTCTTTAGAAAGACGAGTTATGGGAGTTTAGAAACTGTGGTTGTGCATTTGTAGACCATATATTTTTTTCAAACAGATACTGTTTGGTAAGACCCATCAGTAGATCGGGGTTTTTTTTAAATTTATGATGCAAGTTAATTGCCTGAATGAAAACCATTAGCTAATGCTTTGATCACAGAATCATCATAATAACTGGTAATGATTACCAGCTTTCTAGCCTTTTACATTGGGAACAGTCTTAAATCCCAGTAAAATTAGTTAGTGGCTGTGTTCTTTGGTTTAAGGGGAACTGTGGAGTATACTGTAGAGTGAATGCCCATCTGAAATGTCAAGGTGTTTTGTCCTGTAGTAAAATAAATTACACATTAAAACGAAACTGCTTTCTCTGATAGTTGCTACACTGCACCCAGCTGTGAGAATGCAAGACCTCTTCTCAGTGCACTGTTTTTAACAGTGTCCAAAGTATCACTATTTTTTTCAAGCTAGGCTTTGTGGTAGCATGTGGACCTAGGTTCAGACCCTGAAAAATGCTTAGATATCCAACTTTTATTTTGATTGTTAGTATTAAAGCACTGAAGTACATCTCAGGGTATGGATGCAGTTCTTGATCCTGCAGTACTAAATTGCCCAGTGCATGGCATGCAAATATCTGTCGTCCAGTTATTACTAGTAGAACCATATGTTAGTAACAAATCCCTTGGGGAATGTGAATTTTCTGAATTCAGTGCTTGGTGTTAATTAGAATGATGTTTTCTGTGAGCCTTTTAATTTTTTGACATTTGTTTTCTTACCCGTTGAGTCAACATTGATTTTCTAAATGGGGATTTGCATGGAAATGCTGCTTTTGATTTACTTATGTGGTAAAGGTAATTGAGCAGTACTTGATATTGGAGATTTATCTGAAATGACCTGTGTTTGCATTTTGCTCTCGCTCATCTGCAGAACCCTCAGAGAGATAACTGTTCACACACCAGGATCATTTATGGGAATTGTTGACCTGCAAAATTCAAATTTTCTTGCTCACTTCCTTTTCATACATTAGGTCCTGTTACTGAAGTCAAAACAGATATATATGTCACCAGTTTTGGACCAGTTTCTGATGTAGAAATGGTATGTATTTCTGGGATTAAAATGCCATTTCCTGGTTCTGAGAAACCATTAACTGCAGTAAGGAGTGGATGCTTCATCTGTACTGTTCTGTCAATCATGCAAAGTAGGCAAGATTAGTAACAGCTTAATTTACAGGTTATAATTAGATACATCAGGCCTGATTCTGGTCACACTTTCACTGGTTTTTGGCTGGCTTAAAGAATTCACTTCATAAGATTTAAAACAGACTTTCATGGTATAGAGGCAGAATCAGACCTTGCAGGGAGCATCTAAGTCTACTGTGGGGCAAATGTATAATATAATTGAAATTGCTTTTCCTTTCTGAAACTTGTGTTATTCTCAGGTGAATAATAATGACATCATTTCACAAATATTTGTTGACATTTTCATTTCAGATTAATGCCCTTTGCTGATCTTTGTGCCCCTTTTAGCATCACTTTCAGCAAATGTTTGACTGATAGGTGTTTTCAGAAATGTCTGCAGAAATTGAATGTCAAAGTGACATGCATGAAATAGTCACAGAAGAGAAATGTTACATTTGCACGTACTGTTACTTGTGCCTGAACAGCATCTGCATTCATTTGACGTCAAATCCAGCAAAACTCTCATCAACTTCTATAATCCAGTGGTATACCCTTAAATCATACAATTGTTTCTCTTTTTATGAAGAAATCCAAGCAAATCCCATGGGAGTAACACAGCCATATTTGCTGAACTGAATTTCTTTAAGGGAAGGGCAGTTTCAGGGTAGTAGCTTTCTTCCCATACAGTGCTGTCATGCACTTTGTGGTGCACCTGATTTGGTTCTGTCATGTGGAAGGGTATTGTGATAGCGAGATATTTTTTGAAGGGCTACGTTCATGAGAGCAGTCTCATGTTGAAATGCATCTTATCACTTCAGTGGTTGCCATGTACAGTATGATGCTGTTCAGTGTGACAAGGGGTACAAGACTCTGGTCTCAAGGATATCTAGTAATGTGCCTCAAATCTGAAATGAGGGCTGCATGGCATCTCTCAGGTTTCACTGAAGCATTTGACATGATGCCACATGGGAAATTATTAGTTATATTGAAGAAGGCAGGAGTGAGAACATGGACTGAAGGTAGGTAAGAAACTGGCAAAAGGAGAGTTTACAGCAGATGTTTCCCCTTTCATCGTTAAGGATTAATTAGGAGGCTATTCAGGGATCCAGGAACTGGTTTTGGAATAATTTTTAGTTAATGTATCCATTAGTAACCCAATGTAATCTGAATGTGGCTTCACTCATAAAACTCACTGAAACAGCAAAGTGTGATACAGTCTCAGTACAGGGGATGATCAGAAGGTCTGTTTAGAGCAAGTTGGTACCCAGTGTAATGAAAACGGTTGAAATCTTGTATTAGAAAATCTGTCACGTAGAAGCTAATAACAGAAACTGCTACTTAAGAGCTATGACATCACCAGCAAGCAAAAAGATTTTTCATAGATTAACTATAAACCACAGTGGAGGATGGACCCATGGAGAAGACAGATGTAATTCTAAGATGCACTACACTAGTAGGCATGCCTCCTTGCCAGTGAGAATTGATATGGTCATACAAGTAGTTTCAATGATAACGTTATGCATAAGAGTTTGAAATGAAATCAGAAAACATTGGCTTGACAACAAAATCACAACTGTAGGTTAGAAAGGACTCAAAGTTTTCTGTGTTACATTTTCCAGTTCCACATGATGCTGTTTTTGTGAAATGCTTTACTTCCCAAGATGAGAAATGCATTCATTTGTCCATTTATTCACTTACGGTTTCTCATGATGTGCCTGTGTCTGAAGTTCTGCAGTTGTTGTTTGCATGTTTTCTTCGGAGCATCTTAATGGCTCTTGTTACTGGGATAGTTACATATGGGAAGCTAATGGGATAGTTACATAGTTAAAACAAACATGTGTGTGTGTAAGTCTGTATATAATTTATTACCCATGTTTTGTGTCATGGCAAAGGAAATACTTAGTTTTTCTCAGGTAAAAGCTTACTTTCCATGAGTTGAAATTAAAATTTATTTTCTAACTTTGAAAGTGGAAGTAATTGTTTGTCCTGGTATTTTTAATGTAGCCAGCAGCAGAAAATCCATAGATTTCTTTAAAAATCTGTTGACACTTTTTATCAGAGATCATTTTGTTTCCAGTTGCATGCTTGACTACTAATTTAGTTGCCTGCTTCCTGAAACCTAATTAGATTAATTATTCCTTAATGATTAAATATGTGTAGTGATTTATTGATGTGACTAATGTGGGAAATTAAGCTATTAAGAAGTACACAACACAATTTAATTGGTGGAAATATGTTTGTGTAGTGGACTTAGTATTTTCTTTACTACTGATTTCTTTACTCCTGAGGGATTTCTTTTTTTTACAGGAAACACACATGCAAATGTGATCTTTGTTTTTCTGCAATTTAATACAGGAATATACAATGGATGTCTTCTTCCGTCAGACATGGGTAGACAAAAGATTAAAATATGATGGCCCTATTGAAATTTTAAGACTTAACAACTTGATGGTTTCAAAGGTGTGGACCCCTGACACTTTCTTCAGGAATGGGAAAAAGTCTGTTGCACATAATATGACAGCCCCAAATAAACTCTTCAGAATAATGAGAAATGGCACCATCCTGTACACAATGAGGTATCCAATGTGTTTGTTTGGCTTCTTACAATTACTGTATGCAAAAGTTATCCTGCCTAGACAAAATGGCAAACAGAGACTATTTAATTTGTTCCATTATAGGCTTACAATAAGTGCAGAGTGTCCCATGAGATTAGTGGATTTTCCCATGGATGGTCATGCTTGTCCTCTCAAATTTGGGAGTTGTAAGTTGCAATTATGAAATTTCTTGTAACTACAGAATTTAAATTGTAGAAGTAGATTTTGAGCAATTACTAAACTTTCTAAATATTAGTCTTGATACACAATCCTTATGCAGACAAAACTCCTGTTAAGTTCCTTGAGAATTTTATTTAGGGCCTCAAAAATTAAATCCAGGCAGAGAATTGAAAAGAAGGCAGTGATTCAGCTATTATGTTAAACCCCACTATTCGGGCTACACAGTTGCTTGAAATACATAGTTTTTCTTGGTTCTTAGGGAGGAATTGGATACTCAGTGAAGTGAGAGATTCTCTGGAGAAGACAAAGAGGGTGGGATCCATCTCAATTTACAACAGGCAGGTAAAAGGCAACCAGGGAAACAGGTTATTTGACTTTATAGTTAGTGGAGGCATTTTGATGTCCTCAGATAGGTAGGTTATGTGCAGAGATTCGGTATGTAGCTGTATTTGTCTATCTCCTGGCCTATAATGTGAGTCTGCATGGCAAGTTTAGACTAGATAAATAACTTTTAGACTGGTGAGAGGAATCTTACGGCAGGTGACTTTCCTTTTCTGCATCGAAGCCAGACATAGATTTTTGGATGATCTCCAAACTTTGTGTAGAAGGAACATTTTGGGACATACTGCATAACAACTGAGGGAGGTAGTTATGATTTCCTGATTTGAATCCACAGGAGAGACCTCTGAGACCATCTGGGGATGGTTGGTCCACTCCATTAACTATCTTGTCACTCTTTTAAGCCTGCTTGGTCACTGACTTCTCTGCTGTGCACTCCAGTGTAGCCAGTGGCTGGGCATTAATCTGTCTTCCTTGACCCCAGAACTCTGAAGTTAGAAATGGATGGAAGCTCCTCATAGTCTTTCCTCAGCATAAATTTAGCTTATACAGCTGGGTAGTAAACCAAAAGTGGGATATTGAAGACATTATTCTGATAAGGTTTTTCACCCCCTTTATGATGAGACTGGAGACTTGGTGCTGCCAGATTCGGCTTTGGTTATCAGCTGTACAATAGGGGAGCTTCAATAGTGGGGGCTGCTCCACAGGCATATTTCTTCAGGCAGAATCACCAGCCAGCAGATACTGTGCTTGACACTAATCTGATATTTTCCTCAGTGAAACTTGAAATAAGATGTATCCATTTCAAATGCAAGACATTTAATTTCATTTTAACAGGAGTTTGGGCTGTATAGGGATTGAATGCTAGCCCTAAGTTTTATATCTTTTGTATTAAATGTGAAATGTTTCTTTGGGTGTGCATACTTTTGGGTTATTGTGAATTTTTTACTGAGCTCTGTTTTTTTGGCAAATACTTTAAACACAAATTTAAAATAATATAGTTTTTAGTATAGTATAGTTTTTAATATAATAATTCTTTTCTGTAAAGAAATATGCACTTAGTCTCCAAAATGTATCATTCTTATACATTTTTATACATTAGTATATTTTATCAGTACAATTTTAGATAGAAATTTCTAAAGTTTAAAGATAAACTTTGAATGCCCAATAAGGGCTGATCCAGAAAGAACTCATGTTTAGACTTCACATTCAAATATGAAATGAATTTGTATGTGACACTTGACATACAACCTTAGCTGCTATTTATTCTCCTCTGAGGGTGGCTTTTGGGGTAACTTAACATGAAGGGTATCTTCTAAAGTGGTTAGTGTGAAGCTTCCTGTTCGGTTTCAGTAGGTTTGGATTGGGCTCTTAGTAATGTGTGAGAAGAAGTTTCCTATTTATGCAAACTGATGCTCTGTTGTAGATGCTTATCCAAAGAGTGAAATGATTTATACCTGGACAAAAGGACCCGAGAAGTCAGTGGAAGTTCCTGAGGAGTCTTCCAGTTTAGTTCAGTATGACCTGCTTGGGCATACGGTATCCACTGAAACCATTAAATCTATTACAGGTAGGAATCTCATCAGAAAAAAAATCAACTTGAGGTCAAACTAACCCTGTAACATTGCCCAAGGCTTTTTTCTTCCTTCCTGTAAGGTGCTCTACTGAATGTCATAGGGTATATATTAAGGGCTGAGAGCATAAACCTGAATTACGTTTCTGTCCTTCAGATTTACATTTACAGATTCATTACAGGAGATTGCGATGGTCTTTCAGAAAGCTAGAATGAGATCATTACTCCAAGGGACAAAATGAGTATTTAATCACTGCTTAAAATGCAGTTTGAAGAGTCAAGAGGATGCCTGGGTGAGGAAGTAATTTCTCAGCACTGTATCCGCATTATGTGCAAAAGACTTCCTTTGTTTGGTGGTGTAAACAGCTCGGGATAGAAGTACAGCATACAGAATGGGTTATTAAAGCCATAAAAACCCTCTAGTCAGATAAGGATAGGCACAAATGCATTAGTCACAATAGATACTTCTGCTGATTTGTGCTGTAAGAAATAAGGCAAATGGCAACTACAGGCATCTGAAATGAGTGAAGTATCACTGATGAGCAGTGTGGTGATAAACAAGCATATTTTTAAAATTTGGAATCATTTCCTAAGCATCAGCAAGTTTGTGTGTTGTGAGATGGGCAAAATGAAACAGATAAAGGAAATACATTTGAGGTACTACTCCATGGATATTTTTCTCAAAGATAAAACAGCATTTTGAAATACACTAGAAATTTACTTATCAGCATATTATTATGAGTTAACAACAGAATTCCCTTACTGTCCCTAAAATGCTCATTCTGTAGTGCTTTATTTAAATAATTTATTCAGTTTATGGTAAGGCTGCAATTTATTTTTTTTTGTTAATATGAATGATAACATTTGAGATAATACTGACAGTGTTTTTAATTCTTGTTAATGATTTTTGCATTAGTTTTATTATCATAGTGGTAGTGACATACAAACCTAGTAAAAAGCTGAGATGCTTCCATAACACTTAATGTGCATCATTGTTATTACTGTTTTGTTTGGCAGTTAGATACCACAATGTTATGGATACTATGGTAGATAGATTGTTTGTGTCTTGGGATTCTTTTCTTCAACAGCTGCCAAAAGAATTTTAAAAATCATGTTTCTACTGTATGGCTCATGCTGGATTATATCTTACATTTACAGTATTTTTTGATAACAGCTTCTGAATGGCACTGTAGGGACCTACTTCTTCCAAGTTTTTTTGTTTAAAACTTTCATTCATTCTTATCTCTAAGGAACCTATCTTTCTATACACATTAAGTGATTTGAGTAGCATCATCTTAAACAATCTTAGTTGATAGCCTGAAACAGTTATTCTTCAACACAAATTTTATGCACAGTCAGAATTTATTTTTTTTCTTCCCCCTAGGTGAATATATTGTTATGACGGTTTACTTCCACCTCAGACGGAAAATGGGTTATTTTATGATTCAGACCTATATCCCATGCATTATGACCGTGATCCTTTCTCAAGTTTCATTTTGGATAAATAAGGAATCTGTTCCAGCTAGAACTGTGTTTGGTAATTACTTTTTTCCACTTTTTCATGTATTTCCTCTTTTAATGACCTTCACCAGTGCATTGGGGTATACTGTCTCCATTCTAGTGCAGAAACAAAGGAATAATGCAAATTCAGATTAAATTTTGCTATCTATGTCTGAAGAATGTTTTTATGTGAATCCTTGTGATCTGAAGAGAAACTTGAAGTACATAACCTGAACGTTGGCATGGTTGCTTGTGCCAAATGGGTGTACATCTCTGGGGATTCTACCTACCTGGGGGCGCAAATTGGAAAGACCTAGCTATGAATAATACTGTCAAGTCCTTAGTCTACATCCAGACCAGTTTTATCCTCTGGTGGACAGCAGTGTAATCACTTGAACTCACACTTTCTAAAATACTTTTAAAATAATTTGATTGGGAGTGTGCAAGATACACAGATATCTTCTTATGAGATACCTGTGTCATCAGGGGAAGCTTGCTATGAGTAAGGCTTAGATCCTGATACTGTAATTTTGTGTTTAGAGCTCTTCTCTCCTTTCCACCATCACCATTATGAAAATGAAATTAAAAATGATCACAAGATATTAAAATTGCCCCTATCAAAATACAGCTTGAATGAGATGCTACAGTGAACTCTGAAAAACCAAAAAAGCTTCTGTGGAAGACGAAGCATAAGTAATTAAGTGGAAATACAATTCCTAACAAGTAGGATAAAAACATTTTTAAAAGCAGTCTTTATAGAGCAATGTCTTGACTTTATAATGTACTGTAGTCTAAAGTAGGACTAATCAGGAAGAGAATGTTCTACAAAAAGCCTTTCTATAGATAGATAGATGCTGGCAAGAGTGATAGGAATTAACGTCTCTACGTGATAGCCCATTCATACATGTAAGTGGAGTCAGAACACTGTTTAGTATAATAAATTAGACAAGGTTAATGATTAGTTATAGGAGAAACAACCTGTAAACCTAATAAGAACCCCACTAGCTCTGAACTCAGGCATTACATTAGGCAAACTAATATATCGCTTCACATGCCTTTGCAGTGATGTTGAATAATGGTACTTTTTGAAGGGAATATTACTATGAACTGGAAAGGTAGAATCTGTATTCATAGACAAAATGTGATAATCGAAAATGTACAAATTATAGTGATAGATGTAATATGTGTTGTTATAGCCACATGTGAAACTGAAAACAATAATAATAAAGTTTGGACACCCACTAAGTTAAAGTCTTTTAAATGCCTTTGAAAGCAAGTGGCTTAAGTTAAAAGTATCTTTTTAGTTTTCTGATAAATTCCAATAGGGACCCTATGTTCTAAAGGTTTTCTTAACAGAAGATAGAAATGTTGAGGCAAGAGATAGGAATGAAGCCAGAATACTCGCTATGGTACCAGCTTTCTAGAGGAAATGTCAGAAGAGACTAACAAAAGATCTTTCCATTGGACACTGTATGAGTGTCCAATGGAGAGAGAGGTGGCAAAGGTGACAGAGGAAGGATACACAAGGAACTAAGGTACGTTACGTTGTGATTTCTGCAGTCAGAGCTTCAGATGTCTGAATCTGGTCATTGTGGGAGATTGCTGTTTCTTAGAGGAAAGACAGTGTAATTTTAAAACAGGTTTTAAACTTTTTTTAATATTAAAATAGTCAATATATTTTTATATGGTTATGAGCATTTATATAAGAAACTTGCAAATATTTAGGTCTGGATAATTACAGTTCCTGTGTATATATATTTTTTTACCAGAACTTAATTCCCTGCTCTGTAAATCCCTATGGCACGTATCCAAGACCAGTTGCAGTGGCAACTGTAGGTCTCCCAGAAGAATGATTAAATAGGGGGAAATCTAATAAAGACTATGGCCATAAACCATAATACTTTCATGGCCTCCCCTCTCATCCTTGTATTTGGGGAATGGTTGGTCATTCAAGTCACTTCACCCTATTCTTTTATCTATTAAACAAATGTCTTTAGAAAGACTATTCAAACTATTTGCTGAAGTGGACTCAGGAAGGGTAGGGCTAAGCAGGGATGGGCCTCTTCCAGGCAAAAAATAACTTTTCATATTTATTATTTTTCTCAGACTTCAACATTTTCAGTGGTGTGTTTTTCAACACCTTCCCACTGAAGATGGTTTTGCGAGCTTACATCTGTGTTTTTATCCTGTTGAGGAGTTTGCTCTGAGATATTCTTTGTGCTTTCATGACCTAGCTATTACTCTTTTTTTCTTTTTTTTTTTTTTTTTTTTCACCAATGGGAGGGGCTGGATTCATTGTGTCCAGTTCTCTGTCTGGCAGTGTCTAGGTGAAATTTTTTGATATTGGATTACCCAGATGGCATACTACCATTTAGGGAATAGGAAATGTGAGGATTCTGTTGGAAAACATGCTCTTAATTATTTTGAATTCTCCTGAGCATATCCATTTCATTTTGAATTAAAATGGGTTCAGTGTTCTTTTCATAAGAGTAAAAGCATCTCTATTTGTAATCAGTCTTTCTTGAGGTTATCGTGGTAGGACTTCTGCAGTGTTCCCTATATACTTGGTATTTTACATTTGTACGATATAGGATATTTTGGATGAAAAAGGAAAAAAAGACCCCATACCTTGGTTTTATATAGCATGTATATGCATTTGAAGTGTTACCATGAAGTGGTTATGTTTTGAGTTCAGTGTTCATGCTTGTGCACTTTAATTAAAAAGTTGTTGTTTAAGAAGATTAAATTCTAATTATATTTCATCGGTTGACTAGTAGCAGAAGGGTTTAAAAGATAAAGTAATGGTTTCTTAATTAACAGAGTTGTTAACATAATATTCTAGTTTTCCTTAGCACCATGACTTAATGGCACCTGGATTACAAGTGGGATCAGAGGAACAGACACAGACTTAATAGGTGGCATTCTGAACCCATTACAGGAAAAATCATGTTTTTGTTTCAGTCTGAGGAGCACTCCCCTATTTAATAACGTAAATTATGTTCAAATGTTTAGACAAAAAACTACTTGTAAGAAATTCTAATGAACTTGATATGAAAAAAACATGAAATGAAGGTTTCCACATCTTATTCATGTGAACTTCAGATGATCTGCTGAAGTCATGGCTTTCCATGTCATCTTTAGAAAGTGGTTAATTGTTCTGTGTGCACAGCTGCTCATAGATACATGATGGTTGCTGTAACTTAAATCTAATATACTATGCACAAACAACAGAGACTCCTAAGTCATTTAAAAGTCTTTGTTTGAAGCTGATTGCCTATTCTCACTTTGTTTTACTCAGATTCAGCAGTGCTTTTGCTTTATTTCTTTGAAGGAATAACGACAGTGTTGACAATGACGACACTGAGCATCAGTGCAAGACATTCACTGCCAAAAGTATCCTATGCTACTGCCATGGACTGGTTCATCGCGGTCTGCTTTGCCTTTGTGTTCTCTGCTCTTATTGAGTTTGCTGCTGTCAACTATTTTACTAATATTCAAATGGAAAAAGCCAAAAGGAAGACGGTAAAATCCCTTCTTGAATTTCCAGTTGCTCCAGTACCAAGAGAAAGAAGTACAGAAGAGACACTCATGGTACGTTTTCAGCTTATACAAGCATTTTCTGTCTTTTTGGTAGTGTTTTTTTTTTTTTTTGTAAAAACAGGCCTATAACTTTCTCACAGGTTCTCTCTGACCTTACAATGCAGTGTAAGTCAGCCTAGTGGAAGGCTAATGCTACTCTATATTCAATGATAATTGAATCATATTTTACAGGTTTTTATTACTTGCATTACTGGATTAACTAAGGGAGAGGAGGAGGTTGTGTCCATCAATACCAGCCGTCTCTTCTGTATTTAGTTGTGTTTTGGTGTGAAGGTCAGTTAGGATGGGTATCTCTAGGAAACTTTCTTTCCTTTTGCACATTGATTCTGATTGGACTGATTGTGCAGATCAAGATATTACAGATTATAAGGGCAGCATGTTATCTTACATGGCTAATGTCCTTAATTAATTAAAATAAGCTAAAGCATTGCAGTTGTGCTTTGGAGCACTTCCCTAGACATCACAATTCTCCTTTCATTGCATGTATTGCCTTTCTAGAGTTTTCTTTCTTCATCGGTTACAAGTTCAGGAATTTTTGAAGAATGCTAGTTGAAACCTTTGTGTCCGCCATAGATTTAATTTTAATGTAATTTGTATAGCTTTGCACAGGAGCTCACCTCAACTCCTGAAAAGGTTTTGGGGCTCTGTTTAACAAAATGCTTTCCAGCTTTCATAGTGCTTCAGCTTAAGGTGACTTGTGTGGTAGCTACCCACCCTAGTGTGTTAATAAAGGCTCGACCTCATTTCCAGTTGAGCTCACCAGTGATTCTCCTTTTCTCCCTTTTTCCATTCCCATATGCATACTCTCCACTGCATCATTCCTTTCATGAGACACCTGGCTAACAAAGTCATTACAGTACTTGCACTGGCCATGCAGTAGGCCAGTAATTCCCAGCCATGGCTGACTCTTGGCAACGCCATTCCAGAAGTAAGGCACTGACAGCAGTGTTGTAATTTACTCTTCCTCTCAGGCTGACTGTAATTTCCTTTGGCTGAGCCATGATTTAAGAACCGCTCTTTTAGACTAACTGTTGGTAATTTTGTCTTCTGTCTCTTTTCACATCTCATTTGTCTCCTTCCCTATTCATCTGCTCTCTTTTGCCTTCCCGCCCTTTCCATTTGCTACGCTGCTCAGCTGCTGTCCACCCACTTCCATTTTTCTTCCTCTTCCTTGCTGTCTTACTGTAGCGTGTAACTGTTTTCAATCTCCTGGCTGTGTGTTCTGTTTAGCTCCCATTTCTGCTTAGAAGGATAGATATGCTCATGAAGAGTTTGTTACTTGGCAGTCTGTTGGCTGCTAGTAAGAGAGGGCAACAAGAAAAAGTATGTTTATAGTAGCGTGTAGTTTACTCTGTACATAGAAGTATTAATGCCATTAGTTTATGCTAAGCTTCTTGATTTTACGGCATGCAGTTCAGTATTGTGTCTCAGGCACTCCTGGGGAGTGTTAATAAGTACTGCTTTTGGTGATAGTCAGGTTTTACCTGGGTCCACAGGAAAATATATTACATAAGAATAATTTAATCCTAGGCTTATTTATAAGATTTGATGAAAACAAAAGTAAAAATAGTAATTTTCTCAGGTAGCAATCACGGAGGCTTAACAAAACTGTTTTGATTCATGGTCAAAATTTCTGTAAGTCAGTCTTGTATCATGTATCATGCCTAGCCATTTACACACATGGAGAAACTTCTCTTTCTCTCTTTTTCTCCCTCCCCCCCCCCCCCCCTAAACAACAGCAACAACAGAACACACATAACTTCACCCAACTTGAAAGCTAGGTAAAATGAGATGTGAACAGTTGTATTCCACTGCTTAATTAATACCTTTGTGATAAATGTGGTAGTGTGCTTACAGGTTTGGGGATTTTGAAAGCACTCAAGGGAGGAATCTGCTTTTTTGAAGGGTTACACGTTAATGTTATGAACATGTAAGTGAGTGATAATGTTGATTCTACCTTGAACCATTAACTTTTTTTGTGTCTTTTTCTCTAATTATACCTATACTAAGACTTGAGTTTTTGCTCTTCCAGGACAGACATACAGGGTGAGCCTACAGGTATTGTTCTAAAGGCTTAGTTATCGTGCAGTCCTTTTCATGACGAGAGGATGACTTCTGTTCTGGTCTCCTGGTGCATAGAGCAGAAGCTAATATTACTGTTCTAATTCATTAGAAGCTAATATGGCTGTTAGATTCTGATTTCCAACCTGACATGTAATATAGTCCTCTCCTTAAATTTTTTAGTTTTTCTTATAAAAGACTAATTTAGAATTTTCTTAAGCCTTCTTATGCATGTGATTTTTTTTTTTTTTTTTTTTCTGCACATATACTGTCTAATCAGTGCTGATTTACCAGAGATAACAGAATCTCAGCTTCCCTGTGAGTGTGTGGTGCGCAAAGCATGCAGGACAATAGCCTGACTGTAGCATGTAATCTGTAAGCATTGTTTTTTAATGTGAAGACTACACATTTTATCTCCGTATCTAAATAAGAGGCTTTGATTTCTTAACCCAGTTAGTGTTTAAAAAAAAGTCTGTACTACATTGCCACTACTGTGCTAGAAATTCTGTTGTTAGCAATATGATTGCCAGAGCTCAAGGAGAAGTTTTATTTTAAACTTGAAACTTTTTTCAAACAGACTTTGCCTGGTCTGAATTTGCCAGTCTTCCAGAATGAAAAATTTTCACTTAGCCCAGGGAGGAAGTGTGTATAAATTGGAAAAGAAGATGCCTGAATACCTAAGCCCTATAGTTTTTTTCTGGTGCATATCTCACCATTTGCAACCTGCTTTGGATTTTCTACTGATTGGAGGGGGAGGTCCCTTTCTTATGCCCATTAGCCCTGTACTTTTGCTTGCCTTGAAATGACATACAGATGGCTGCCCTGGCTTTTCATAGTTGAGGTCCATCTGTATAGATCCCCTGAAACCAAGAAACATACAGAGCAATTGAAGCTGTTAAGGAAAACAAAACAGGTGATATATTTTTAAATGAGGGTTTCATTTTATGGGCTCTTGATTCTAACCTATTCATTGGATGGTTACGTGCATTTGATTATTTTTATATATGTATTTATTTTTTCTCCAGTAATGTGGAATCGTCCTAGAGGGATTCCAGGAGGGAGCAAATTGGGCTATGAAACTGGATTCCTGATAGAACGTGGGAATTTTACTGTTTAATAGTACTAGAAGTTAGGTATGTTAATAGTAAAGTCTAGTAAAATTAAAGATAAATTGCATGTAATTGGAAGTCTTTTTTTGACATGTATGTGTGTGACCAATTTCTGACCATAAAGTTAAAGTAGGTTTTCTATATTGAAACAGTTCATGTATTACTCAAGCTAATTAGAATTCTTGGTGGTGGGTTGTTTTTTTCAGTCAAACCCACTTTTCCAGTTGTCTTGGATCAAAGGCAACTCCTGTCATTATGATCAAGTGACTTGTGATGTGTTCATTCATATTATGTATTTCTTCACCACAATCAATACATCTTTACTGTAGTAAATGTGGACTATATGCTTTTCTGTTATTCTCTTGTGTAATATTTGCTTTTTTTGAGCCACATGATGGGTGTAGCTGATCTGTATATTGATTACAGTAAGCATTAAATGAATTTTGGAGGCTAGCTAAGTAATCAGAATGTGTCGATTCCAGCAAAAAAAAAAAATCCTTGTGTTGAGCTAATTCAGTGGGCTGGGGGTGGCAGGAGTGAGTTTGTAGTGCCTGCAGATGCAGTGTGTGCTCCACTATCACTTGATTTGGTTTTAGCTATGGTATTATTCAACCTCTTTTTACACCCCCATCCCCCCCACCCCCCCCTTTCAAATCTTTCTTCTTGTTGCCTATAACTTTCTGATACAAATTTAATGTGTTTTCATAAGGAGGAATGAAGTTCTGCATTAGGCAGGCCATGAGTAGGACCCAAACTTGTTTGAGATCTGCCTTGAGTTCACAAGGGACTTGGACAGCCTCACTTCCCTTCTGTCAGACACAGTGAGGTAGTACTAGAATCTAAGCCAAGACAGATGACTTACACGGTGGTCTCCTATGATTTCCTTGTCTTGGGAGCAAACTAAAACGCTTTCAGATTAGAAAGAATGAACCTGTCCCTAAATGTTCTGATCTCTTTTCTAAGAGAAAAAGCAGAAATGTTGTAAAAGCAGAAATGTTGTTGCAAGTCAGTGATGGAAATGCATGATTTATAGTTTGTTATTGGACTCCTATTTTTATGCTTATGAACTATTTCCTTTTCACTGTATTCCCATGAAGTTTATTTTTAAAGATCTATTCCTTTTGGAGATGAAGAATGCTACTGAAAAATTGTCTTCAAAAATAGGCTCCTGAACACTGTTAACATGAGCTTCAACCTCAGCTATTTGAGAGTGTAAAATTTGGAAATAACAGGTCAACTCAAATGAACCTTTTGAATGGAATAATTTCTTCAAACTCAGTCATAAGTGGACAGCAACTCAAACTTTCTTCGTCTTTTCTGAAGGCAGTTAAATGTCATGTTGTCTTGAGTAAGCCCTGTAGCATCCAATGGAGGAACTCAAGGGTCAAACTCGTCACTACCACATAGGTGCACACTCCTCTCCTTAACAGGAGCATCCATGCTGGGGTGGTATGTGACTGGCATGTACCTGACAAGTTTACAGGAAGCATTGTCATGTGAGCAACCTGCGTATGTGCTTTCATGTGATTAAGATGTATTTTCTGTGATGTGAAGTACTTGCCTTTTAGCCATATGATGGACACACCTCAAGTTACATGATGGGGGTGGGAGGAAAGTAGGGATCCTTTGGCAGCTTTTGGTGAATAGACATCTAGAACAATTTGTCGAGAGCAATTAATCTGGCTCATGCCCAACTCTGTGCCCTGTTTCATGACTTCCAGGGTGAGGATTGGGCCAATATTCTGATGGGTACAATCCAGAGGCCATAGGCTGGATACTTCTTTTTTTAGTGCATGTGTGTCCTTTTTTTTGTTCTTAATC